TAAATAATTAAATTTTATTTATTTATTTAAAATTTATAATATTAAATATTTATTTAATAATATATAAAAATTATAAAAAATTTATAATTTTGCGCGTTTGGGTCAAAATAAGAACACTTCTAGTTTTGATATTTGAATTTTGAAGATGATTTTTTCCCTCTCTCTCGTAGAATTTTAAGATTATTTAAAAATTTATAAAAAAAAGTTATGTCTTTATCACCGTCTCATGCTTTTAATGACGTAATTAAGGTTTAATTTTTAATATTTTTGCGGCGTAAAAACGATGAAACGACGTAGGATAACCTCCTCTTTCTTCTTCCCTTCAATTTCCCTCCGAAGTTAACAGAAAATTCAACAAACCCCACCCCCAAAAAATTAAAAAAAGTTAAAAAAATAAAAAAGAAATAAAAGAGAAAGTCCGAAAAAGCTTCTCACGTTGTCCACGATTCACACCGCCTACTCTTTCTATATTTACCCAGAAATCTGAACTTTCGCTGAACCTTCTCCGATTCTCCCCACTCTTTAATTCAACCTCCACTGGTGCCGTTCGTAAGTCGGCGATGCGAGTCTTGATATACCGATCTGCGCTTTTGGTTTTCGTTTCGTATGTGTCTGTGACAGCTGTCGGCTAGGGTTTCAGAGAATTAGGGTTTTGTTCAGCGATGTTGATGATGGACGAAGGCGATAATCACAATTCGGTGCGATTTGATGACGAGTGCGATGCGTTTGATGGCGGTGGCGGTGGCGATGACTTGATCGATATTGAGTTTATATACGACTTGATGGGGGAGAACTCCGATCCTCAGCAGGTATTGTTTTGTGGTTGGGAACGTCGATTTTGGTGTAATCTCGATCGACTGTGTAGTTTCAGGGGAATTCCATCGTAGGATGGACTTTGTGTCTTTGTGTTGAAACTTTCTGGTTAGTTAAAAGAGTGTTCTGTTATGTTCCATGAGCAGTGACGGCTTTATGGTAGCTGATTATGTTGATGTTTTGCAATTATGCATAAATCGTTGAACTTCTTCTTCTTCTTCTTCTATTTCTTTTTGCTTTTCCGCTGTTAATGTGAAAACAAGGAATTTCGCGATTTTTTTCTCTTTCTCATATGCTTGATGAATTTGTTTGATTCTGCATGCACTTGTTCCTTGAGGAAGAAGGAGAGTTAAAAAAAAAAAAAGGAAGGGAAGCTTTGCATTAATTTATTCCCATTTCCTTTTATGTGTAGACAATGCTATGGTTGTTTTCTCAATTTGTCGGTGTTGAATTGCAGATTAAGCAAGAAGAAGATCTATCACTTGGAAAAATTTCACCGAGTGATCCATCTCCTGATGCTGCCCACCTAGAGATTGGTAATTGAGCTTGGCAAACTTCTATTTCTTCCTTGTTGTATTGATTTTCTCTGGGAAGTCAAGTATGGTTTCTAGTTTCCTGTAATACTTCTTCGAAATGGCTTTCTATTGATTGTTTTTTTCTTGCTTCATTCTTTAGAGCTTCAAGAGTTGGAAGGTGGTTCAGTTGATTATCCCGAGAATTTGGATCTCTATGTGCAGAATGACCGTCCTGTTCATAACTCCTCTGCAAGTTTAGAACCTTGGCTTCAATTGAGTCAAGGGAGTTCATATAACATTCCTGCATCCAGTTTTGCTGGAGGAGATTGCATGCCTTTTATAGATCATCCAGATGAATCAAACTTTGATCTTCAGTTAGCACATGGGGCAGAGAAACTTCAATCCAGAGGTACGCCAGTGCTTCCCTTGTTGGACCTACATAATGTCATTTCTTGTCTTTTTACTAGATTCAAGAGAGTTCCATGACATGAATGCTCCATCCTGCGCCCAAAATTTGTATTGAATAGCTAATTCATCCTCCCTGAACATTTCAGATGGTTTGGATGCTGTTTGTATGAAGGATGCAGATGTAAATCTTGGCTCTTACGTTGATCTTGGTTTGAATACCCCAGAAATTCCTGAGTGTACTGATTCAACTGTTTGTCATGGTACTGAGATTACTGATGGCTTTGACTACCCTTACTTCATGCCAGATGTTACAAATTCAGATGGTGCTAATTTTTCTTATACCTTTTTGAATTCTGTTCCTAGTAATCTTGATTTTGTCACTAGTAATGAACAAAATATGAGGGGTGAAATGGTGGAAAATCTGAGTGAGAGTGCTTGCTCAAGCAGTTTAATAATGTTAAATGCATATGGTGGAGGCAATTGTGGGTCTTTAATGGAGGCATCCATGTTTGATATGTGTGATGTAAAGGGACAGAATTTGGAATGTGAAGGTAGCAATCATGTCTCACCAGTTTCTGGAAATTTTTCTCTCAATTCTGATAATTTACTTGTTGACAACAAACGATTGGTGCGGCCATTCCATCATACCCACTCTTGCATTTCAAGCAAGAAGCAAGTGGATGAGGTTGGCAGTGGAAATTCTACTAATGGCACTGGTGATATATGTTCTGTCTATCGAGATCTAGATCTGTCATTATCCAGCATTTCACCTTGTATGCCAAGTCAAAATTTTGTGGTTAATGGGAAGGATGAGAATTATAGTAGTCTTTCTTACCATGGTGGTGAACTTTTGAATTCAAATTCCTTGGAGAGAGGTTTCCCTGGTACTTCAAGTGAGATGTTGCTGTTAGGATTAGGCTGCATTAAGGACAAAAGGGAGGGTAAATTGATGAATCAGATGAGCATGGGTCTTTCAAAAGTTAGTCCAGAATCAATCCATAGCAATTCATCAGATTGCAGATCCCATCTAGATGATGACCCTGATGTTATATGTATTCCGGATGACAACAGTCAACCTGCATTTTCAAATCAACCTACGTTGCTTTCAAAGGTCACTACTTTGCACCATTCTAAATATGGTGATCCTCTTCCTTACCCAGGAAGTTCCGGGCCAAATGCAATTGACAAACACATTATTAGATTTGCAATGGAGGTTAGTGCTTCTGTTAAATATGTTACTGTTCCTTGCTTTGGCAATGATAGATTAGAAACATAATGGCATTGCACATTTGCTCTTTTACTTCAGTTCTGTTTTTAATTTGAAACAGCTCTTTCAAGAACTCTGAAGTTTTGGTGTCAGATGTATACATGTGAACTTGAATGCATGGTCTACCCTGCTGCCAGTCTTGTGTCCAAAATTACAATTTCAGTACCTGTTCATCAAGGCCTTAAAATTAAAACAGCCTTCACTGTTGCATCTTTGAACATCAAATTTGTGCTGGAAGTTTTATTTAGTTTTTCTATATTTCCTTTGATGCTTGATAGTGATTTCCTCTTGTAGTGTTATGGATGTAGCTTTCTGAGTTTCTGATGGCTGTAACATTCTTGTATCTCAGGATCTTTCTCTATCTCAATCCAAGTCAGAAGCTAGTCCACCAGATGGTGTTCTGGCGGTATCTCTCTTGAAGCATCAGGTTTGTAATTTTTTTTTTTTTTAAATTTATTGTTATTTCAATTTGAGAAAAAGTTAGAGGTTTGCAAGGTTTTATTCTTGGCAGATGGGGCAGTGATAGATAAAAATTGTTCAAAAGGCCTGTTCATAGATATAATAGTTGATTCTGTTGGGATGAAATGTTTGGTTTGGTTAACGATGTTTGCATATGATGTACATTAGTATGTTTGAAGTAAGAAAAACATTGATCAAATGTTGATATCCTGGTCAAATTTAATAGTTGTCTGAAGTGTTGGGGTGGCTGAGCACCCTTACCAATGAACTTTTCTGACATTAAGACTTCTCTTGGTCTTTTTAATTATCTGTGGTTGTTTCCAAGCCAAGAAATCCATTTATTATTTGTGTAACAGTAAAGAGACTTGCTTCCTGACAAGAGCATGATGCTCTAGTTTTCTCCAGTCATGGCAAATTATCATATATGTTATTGCAAAATGTATATCTTTATGGGTTGTGGGGTATATTGATTTCAACCTTCCCATGTCTGGTCTCTTGGTACCAACTAACTTTCTAACCTAATTTCTGGAGTTTAGATCAGGGATCCAAAACTCAGTAATGGCTGAGGACTAATTTCTTTGCGGATAATACTAATATTTATGCTATTGGTTTTGAAATGGTGAAGTGGTTTTACACTTCAGTTTTTAGATTTTGTGTAAGTCTGTATTTTTTGGGTGAGTTTTTTGTATGTGTTTTCTGTATCTTTGAACATTCATTACTAATTGATATGTAACATTACTAATTGATATGTAACATTACTAATTGATATGTAACCTATGTCCTGTACAGCGAATTGCTTTGTCATGGATGATCCAGAAGGAGACATCTAACGAGCACTGTTCAGGAGGAATTCTTGCTGATGATCAGGTAAATTTTTATCTTTTTTGTCAGCATTACTTGGTACTTGGTAGCTTTTCGGAACTATGTTTTTATGATGTTCTGTTGCAGGGATTGGGAAAGACGGTATCAACCATTGCACTTATTCTTAAGGAAAGGCCTCCACCTTTCAAAGCATGTCCAGAGGTCAAGAAGGTTGAGCTGGAAACTGTTAATTTGGATGATGATGATGAAGATGATGAAGATGATGATGGGGCTACAGGGCCTGAAGGAATGAAGCAAGAATCTGATGACTGCAAAGTGAAATTGAACAGATGCTCAAGGGGAAGCTCATTACCTTCAGAGCAAGCAAAGGGAAGGCCTGCTTGTGGAACTCTTGTTGTCTGTCCCACAAGTGTGCTGCGTCAATGGGCTGAGGAGTTGCAAAATAAGGTAACTAGTGAAGCTAATCTCTCTGTCCTAGTGTATCATGGGGGCAATCGCACGAAGGATCCTTCTCAGTTGGCCAAGTATGATGTTGTCCTTACAACATATTCAATTGTCAGCATGGAGGTCCCAAAGCAGCCTTCTGTTGATGAAGATGATGATGAGGAATGCTACTCAGATGGTGATGGTTTTCCAGCTTCAGTTTTTAAATCAAGCAAGAAAAGAAAGTACAAACCCACCTCTGATAAAAAAGGAGTGAAGCATCAGAAACGAGGGGATGGTGTGCGAGAGTCTGTTCCTAGACCTCTTGCAAAAGTTGGATGGTTTAGGGTTATTCTGGATGAGGCACAGAGCATTAAGAATCACAGGACTCAAGTTGCTAGAGCCTGTTGGGGTCTTCGTGCTAAACGTAGATGGTGTTTGTCAGGGACTCCTATTCAGAATGCGGTTGATGACCTCTATAGCTACTTCAGATTTCTCAGATATGAACCTTTTTCTGCTTATAAATCATTCTGCTCTAAAATAAAGATTCCAATTACTAAGAATCCTAGAAAAGGGTATATTGAGCTACGAGCTGTCTTGAAGACAATAATGCTGCGTCGAACCAAAGGTGAGTACATCTACAACTTCTTGTTAATTACATATTGGTCCTTCAGTAGAATCTAGTTTAACCTGGTGCTATATCACTGGTTACTTGATAGTCTCTAGGGTTGTGTTGACATGCAGCTAGCTGAAATCACTCATGATCACTCCTGATCTTTATCCTTTCTTTTTGGTGCTAGGAACTTTTCTTGATGGGAAACCAATTATCAATTTGCCTCCCAAAGTGGTAGAACTGAAAAAAGTGGATTTTACAAAGGAAGAACGAGATTTTTACTCTAGATTAGAGGCTGATTCTCGTGCTCAGTTTAAAGTATGTTGTGATTGAGTAATTTTAGATATTAATTGGTTAGACCTTTTACACTGGTAGTTTCATGGTCATATGATTTCTAATTCTTTGAATTTAAAATTTGTAACAGGAGTACGCCACTGCTGGAACAGTCAAACAAAATTATGTCAATATTTTGCTTATGCTTTTGCGCCTTCGTCAAGCCTGTGATAACCCTCTTCTTGTCAAGGGTTTTGATTCAAACTCTTTATGGAGATCCTCAGCTGAAACAGCAAAGAAGCTTTCCCGTGAGGAGCGAACAACTCTTCTGAATTGTTTAGAAGCTTCTTTGGCGCTCTGTGGCATCTGCAATGTGTGTAGTTGCATTTTTTCTTTCTTTTTTCTGCCTTGTTTTACTGCACTTCTTTAGCTGCTTTTTGTATGTGGTATGCCGTACTCGTTACTTTGTTTTGGCATAATTATTATAGTGTGGCCATTCAACAGTCTTTTTTATTCTATCTCTTCTTGTTAGGGTCTTATTTTGAGCATATTGAATAAGTTCAGTACCCTTTTCCTCTTAATAGTGTTAATGATAGCATTGACAGTTTTGTCTGAGGTTCATGTCGTTTTATCCTTGTATACTTGTCATATTCATGAGGTTTGGACTTGTTCTAAATATGGACGGCTTCCTACTAGTTGTCCATTGGTTAATCCTCTTTGGTATAATTCCTTCAGTTATGCTCTAATTTATGATTGAACATGTATTCTTCTGTTTCTGACACCTGTTTGATGATTTTGTAGGATCCACCAGAAGATGCTGTTGTTGCAGTCTGTGGTCATGTTTTCTGCAATCAATGCATCTCTGAGCATATTACTGGTGATGACAACCCGTGCCCAACTGTCAACTGCAAAGTTCGAGTCAACATGTCTACTGTGTTTTCAAAAGTCACGTTAAACAGTTCTCTGTCTGAGCAGTCTGGGGAGAATAGTTCTGGCTCTGAAGTTGTTGAGTCCGTTGATCCTTATTTTAATGGTCAGTTGTATCAGTCTTCCAAAATTAAGGCAGCCCTTGAGGTCCTGCAGTCACTGACTAAACCTCAAGATTATACATCGAAAGTTACTGGCTGTTCTGAGGACCAATATCATCTTCAGGCCGGGGATCCACAGCAGGGTTCTCCTGATAAAAAAAATGTGGTTATTGATAAAAGTTTGGACAATCCTAAGATACCTGGAGAGAAAGCCATAGTGTTTTCTCAGTGGACAAGGATGTTGGATTTGTTTGAGGATTGTCTCAAAAATTCTTCTATTCAATATAGAAGACTTGATGGAACAATGTCAGTTGCTGCCAGAGACAAAGCCGTGAAGGATTTTAACACCCTCCCAGAGGTTTGTTTGGATTGTAACATCTGTTTTTCTTCTAAGACTTATGCTAGCATTTTGGCAGCTGGTCTCTATGTTGATTCCAGTACTTATTGTTATTAAACTTTACCCCTATGTTATGTAGGTGACTGTCATGATTATGTCTCTAAAAGCGGCTAGTCTTGGGTTGAACATGGTTGCAGCTTGCCATGTTCTTTTATTGGATCTTTGGTGGAACCCTACAACTGAAGATCAGGCAATTGATAGAGCACATCGTATTGGGCAGACTCGTCCTGTTTCTGTTTTACGGTTAACTGTGAAAGATACAGTTGAGGATCGTATTTTAGCTCTCCAGGTAACATGCTTTTTTATTGTTTATATTTATTAGATGATAGTCTAGCTCTCTTTATTGTGACTATTCTGAAAAGAAGACATGGATGCTACATACATGTAGTTTAAGTGTTAAGAAAAATTGTTGACTGTGGTTTGATATTGTTCATGTTTTTTAACCATTGATCATTAGTTTTAGAAACTTGATTTGTTTCTTCAGCATTAGGCCTGATGGTGTCACTGTTTACTCTGGTGGAGAATTTATGGGATGTTTTGTCTGGTTCAAGTTGTAACTAAACTAATGGGCTTGACATGGTTATTCAGAGTGGAGCCTTGTTGCACCAGTGATTTCTTATTCTAGCAATGGTTTGAGGTTGGGTTAAGTTAGTTTAACAATTTGAGTAATTTAGAGCTTTTGTTATCATACTCAAGCTTTCCTGTTGTGTCTTATATGACTTTTCCCTTAAACAACCTCCAATTTGCTTTGGGTGAAGCTGAATATCTCAAGTGTATTGGTTTTCCTTAGAACCAACATTAATTCTATGCCCTTATGTGTTCTATTCTGAGCTTCCCCCATGTTTTGCAGGAAAAGAAGAGAGAGATGGTTGCTTCTGCATTTGGAGAGGATGAAACAGGTGGTCGTCAGACTCGTCTCACTGTGGAAGACTTGGAGTACTTGTTCTCAAGCCCTGCAGTTGTTGGCATCTAGAATGGGTATGGGAAACAATGCAACCCCAATTTTTTTCCCCTTCAGATTCATTCTTTTTCTTGTTCCACATGCCCAGGCAAGTAAGGTTCAAGCAACAGCATTCTACTAACCCAAGATACCATGTGTAGCTTCATTCCATCTTGCATTACTGCAGTTAAGTGACCAAGGAAACAGGGCTTTTTTGGATTTTGACATCACGCTAATAGTCACGAAAGAATTTGCACCATCACTTTTACGCACAAAAATATCTATAAATTTTGTTCATCTCACAATTGATATTGTATAGGATTCAGAGATAGGTAGCTTATAGCAAGTAATCAGCTTAGATGGAAATTCTTTTGATCAAGTTGTAAATGATAGATTTGGTCCTGCAAAATTTTTCACCTTCTATTACTTGTTTGACAGAGATTCTCGTTGTAGCTTGGTAGTTTGATATTTTGATCGCATTGCTTGCATTTGAGATTTACTTGAATGTCTTTTATTATTGTTAGTGTGTGTGTGTGTGTGTTTGTGTATTTTGTAACATCCATCAGTTCCATGGTTTGACCTGAAGACTAAGCGGATCTTGGAGGAAAATTCAAACGCGGTGTGAGATTCAAATTTAGATCCAATGGTTCCAAAATTTCTGCCTTTCCATTACATCAAAATTTCATTAACCATCAGAGTGAACGATAACACATTGGGATGCCAATTCGTTTGGTTCTATACTTTTATTGTCTTATGATATTTTACTCCTTCAAAAGATTAAGGTCATTTACCAACTACTAATACCATTAAAAGGATACGGGGATTTTGCAGATGAGGGAGTTTGCTTTCACACTTTGCTAATTCTTATTTGATGTTATGGAGATCTTAGTGGAGCAGAAGTTTGCAAAAGAGAGAACTGTATGGTTAGTTATTAGGTTGCTAATTGTAACTGTGAATGGCCAACAGACAATTATATTTTATGGGTTTTTTTTATCTGACAGTTTATCACAGGACCACCAAAAGAGGAGAGAAGGGCTCAACGTCAGAGGACTTATCCCTTTTGATAGTCCTCGAAGACTATAAGATAATTTTTTCATAACGAGCAGCTAATTTCCTGGTCTAATGGTCAAAAATTGGACTTTGAATCCAGCTTTTTTTCAATCTTTGAAACTCATATTATGGAAAAGAAAATGGTTCCAAAGAATCCGTCAAAAATCTTCACCTTCTTGTCCTCCTCTGATTACGTTGCCGTCGCATCTTCACTGTCGTGAAGCACAAGAAACGGGATGCTTACACCACTCCAATCTTTTAGCTAGGTATTCAGTCGTCCTCCTCAGATTAATCACGGCGCCAATCTCGGTTTCCGATTATCTTTTTCTGATTTTCAGGAAAAGTTCTTGGTCTGTTGATGCGCACAAATGGCGACCCCCATCAATTCTCTATAAAGAAACCCTTGACATTTGAGCTTCTTCCATGATGGAACTCAAGAATGACAGTCTTGGACGACGAGATCAATGTCTTGGATGTAGGCAATGTCCACAGTGAAGCAGGCAAAACTTGCCTGATGTCATTGCTATAGCCATGGACGCCGCTATAATGCCACTCGGAGTACCAGAGATGGGCAGCCATTACCTTAAGAACAGCGAGAAGTGTACAAGGATTACCTTGATTCCGTGCTGCTTCTGGGGTTTTGCCCCCAGTAATGAACATCTTCTTGTTCCTTCATTCTGGGAAGGCAAACCCGATTTGAGATTTTTAACGTTTTGTTTAGAATATGGTTATGGTTACTAATTATTTTGTTAAGCTCACATAATCTATTTAATTTGACTTATAAAAATATTTGATAAATTAAAATTAGTTTATATACTACTTAAGGAAAAATTTACAAATAACATATCAATCAAATTAAATAACTTTTAAGTAACCTTAATAACAAAATACTAGGCAGCAATGGCCACACCCCTTGTTTGAATTTTCTATAGTTTGTTTTCTGATGCTTTGTGCTTGGAAAAATTGTCGCAGAATAGGGAGGAGGACCATGGTCCTGTTGGGCTCTGGTGGCTCAGTTGGGCTGTTGATTGGGTTGACTTTGCAAGCCTATGTCCATTCTCAACTTCAGATGGGATTGGTGAGCAGAATAAGTGAAAAGCCAAGGTCTGTCTCTAGATGCCCCTTTTTAGCTTAAAGTTGCTTTCTTTTAGAGCTAATGATATGGTATATTTACATATTACTTGTGTAGTGTTATTATTGTTTTGAATATGGAAGATGTTAAATTTATATTGTAGAGTTTTATTTCTATGCATTGTTTACTTTTTTGTTGCCCTTGTCATCAAGAAGTCTTGTTTTGGTAGTGAATTCAATAATGCACAGTAATACCACATGCATTTTATTAGTTAGGCACTAAAACTACTAGGTATAATTGCCACCAAAACGTGTAGGGCGTTTGCTAGTTTGCTGCTAGTTTGTGGACCAAAAGCTAGAGCATAGGGTGGGTTTCATTTTAGTGGCACTTTATTCTATTTTAATTCTTCCTACCTAATCAGTCTTAAATGGTATATGTTTGATTTGTACAACTAGAACATTGGCTTACCTGGCTCTTAACTTCTAATATGATATGAGTAAATATGGAATTAACCTCTTGCTTGAGGTTGAATTAAGTCATTGTTCTTTTCTTTGACGTTGTTCCATTATTCCATTAGTTTTGTCCTTATGTCCACGTTTTCAACAATTTGATAAACTTATTCAAATTCAGATTCTTGTGGGTTTAATCATAATTGTTTTGATTGGTGAGTTTTATGATTGGGTGGATGATGTTAGGACACCATAACATCAATTGAGAATTGGTGCTAGTTTAACATCTGGTAGAGGCCAAGTGTTACAAGACACAAGTCAACACTATTTTCTTTCTTGTAAGGAGGATTAACTGTATCCTGAATGCTGAGAATAAAACATCAACATAATTAATGAGAAGTGAGATGGATTTCTACTCCACTCTGAGGATAGAAGAAACAAGTTTCTGACAAGTTGATTAATCTTTTCATTTTTGAAAGTCTCCTCAAACAGACTATCAAATATAGCGCTCATACAGTAACTGGTGGAACCCATCTTTTCTTGAGAAACCTCTAGGACAAGTCCCTGAACCGGGAGGAGTAAAAGGTTCTCGTTTTTTTTGTAACAAAAAACACTGCTGAAACAAAATGGTCAAGTGAGTTTATTTATTTTTAATTCTGTGAATGGTAGGTTTGTAGAGTCAGTTGGAAAGAGGGAAAAGATCAAAAGAGAGATAGTGGAGGAAGTTCAAAACTCAAGGTAGTGGAGTTTTAACTAGGTCCTGCTAAGGTTAGGATGGCATGGAATTTATTGAGATTGAAACTTCCTGTTTTATTGACATCTTAGAAGCATTTTGTTCAGAAACTTGTCAGAAGATGAATGGTTAAGGAGTCAAGAATGGCGGTCTTTAACATTTGAAAAAGGATTTCTTTCTTGTATAATTGATTGCTGGGACACATTAGATTAGATATAGTGTACTGATAAACTTTTGGAAAGCATTAAGTTTGGATAATTATGCTATAATGTATGTGGGAATTTTTCTTTTTCTTTTTCATTTTTTTTTTTGTTTGATAACATGGTTATCTGGACCTTTGGCTGGACTAGTCTCACCGACACCTATAAATTACTACAAACTAGAGAAGGCTCCACCCAAGGGTGGTGATCGTGACTTGTTGAAATTGTTTTTTTTTTTTGCCAAAATGACAATGGAGGGATTTAAACCTATTTCTTTAGTGTGGTTCACATCACTCCTTATCACTTGGTCAACCTCAGTGGGTTAGATAGAAAGTATTTGCAATGATTATAAATACATCAAATTCAACTCATAAACAGTAACAGCTTAAGTTGTGCATGATGTATAGCTACTTGCTGTGGGTTTATCATCTTCTTGCTGTTACAATAACATTCATGGTGAAAATGATAATGCTTGTTCCCATCAAAAGAGTAAAAGTTTGTGCTTTTCATGTCAATATAAAATCAAGTGATTGTGCAGAAGGACAAAAGATCTATCTGCATTCTGCTAGCTTCATCGAAAAAGTCATAGCAAGAATGATTCAATCCCCTTATCGGAATCAGATTTCTGGTCAATGTGGAACTCTTTGTATGGTTTGTTCCATGTGCAAGTCCGTCTCTTCTTGCCCCAGAATGGATTGACAGCCACTAATAGGAACACCAATAGTATCCACGAAATGAGATTCTTCTCTGTGCTTATGTAGACCATAGATAAATCACAGGGAGACTTTATTTGTAGTATGCTTCAACAAGCAGAAACCCGTTTGTGCATACCTGATCTATCATGTGATCTAAATTTAGATTTTGGATAAAAACAACTTGAGAATTTACTTATATTCTAGGACAGGAGTCTCTTACTTAGGGCTTTTATTTATGTTTTGGATGGGTAAAAGCTAAATATTTCTAGTAGGTTTAAGAGCAGTAAGTTACTCTGTTACGCTAGCTGTGGGCAAGATAAGTTACTGTTATTCAATTAAATACAACAAAGAATATTGAAGAAGATTGGTTCTGCTGCTTTTAATTTAAAACTTGAAAGGTGTTCATGATCAGATAAAGGAAAGCATCTATTCCATTATTTCAAAGCTCCTCTAACATAATTTGGTTCTAAAGTTGCATCTGCTTTTTCTTAACCATCAGGTATGAGAAAGCAGTTGCTTTTCTGTTTGCTTGCATTTTAGCTTACTGAAACTGTTGTTGGTTTGGTTGTATTGTTTAAATAGGGTAAGTTATGGGATAAAGTAGTCTGTTGGAAGTGTGTTGATTAGGTTTTAAGAAATAAACTGTTGCTATTTTCCTACTGACATTTTTCATTTTAGGTGACAGCTGAGATATTGAGAATAATAGGCGAAACTGTAATCGTTATATATATATATATATATATATATATATTTTCCCATTACCGTAATTCTCAAGGTTTTCCATGTAGAATTTTCAATAAAGAATTTTCTGAAACACGTTGTTTCACAACGTTGCTGGCTTTGCTGAGGGAATATTTTCAAAGTTAGCTGTATGATGGTAGATCAATCTACATGATAAGTAACAAAAGAAAATATTAGATTTAAGGGGCATTAACTGCTGATTATCCTTTAATTAATAATAAAGTTTCAGATAGGTAAAGAAAATATAAAGAAGTAAAGGAACAACGATTAATGACATGCTTCATGTAATATTTTGGATCCTTGAAGGATAGCATAAATGGTGTATGGGAGTCTTTTCTAACATCAATTTCCTGCATGGCATTTTGCCACTCATATACTGTAGTTTTTGCAAAGCTGATGCTAAAATCCCATTTGATAGTGCACTCTATCTAGAGATTGTTCAAGTCATTGACTTGATAACATCCAAAATAGAGACAAAGAACTGTTGGAGCTTATCATAATCTAAACTTCTCTTAATGGAAAGTTATCACAAGGCATGAGAGATTTTTCTCTTATGCCGATGTGTCTTCTCATGGTTTTAGGTTGGTTGTCACCATCCAACAACAGATCTGAAGCACCAAAATCATTTATTAAGAATGTTTAGATCCATGTCCTGATCTTGAATCTAGGGTATTTAGATAACACAATACATCTTAGTGTGCTTAGCACGAATTTGAACTTTTCTTTCGTGACATTGTCTACCATTCCGCTCAATGGCTTGTATTAACGAGAAAGGGGATGAGGAATGAGTTTACTAATAAGAATAGGTGGCCATCCACTGGCCAATTTAAAGTTGGGTTGCCACATGAGTTGGGGTTATATGTAGGTCACTTTTTGGATGCCATTTGTTGGTGCCAAGAAGATGACACATGTGCAGACTTTTAGAAATCATTATTATTATGCCCCCAATATTGGGGGCCCACCCCCATCCAGTGGTTGGTATTGTGCAGTCTGGTACAGTCTGGACTGCACAACACTTTTTCCTATTGTTATTATTATTATTGTTATACCAAATGCAGGATCACATAAAGTCACTATAGGGTCAAAAAGGGTATGTTGATCAGCATCATATCCGCTGAAAGATATGTGCTTTTATTTGTTTGTTATGATTGCATGAAGAATGCATCACACTGGAAAGCAACCTTACATATGTAACAAAGATTTTGAAGTTTCTGTTGATAATATCATCCCAGCTACTGCTGGATAATCGTTTGTCACGTAGGAATAAACTGAAGGATATAAATTAGCAACTTTGAATAGTTATGACTTGTGACATGATTTCCATCTCTTTCAACTAAGTAACATTGGAATCCAAGTCATTGCTCAACAACCAAGTTGATGTTCCTTTCATATTCATAGTTTAGCTACCCTGGATTCATCAGATTCAACAACCAGGGCGCATAAGGTTCGCCACAGAACTCCATCTTTCTATTTTGTGATGATGGGAATCTTGAAAAAAGTTACTTTTTTCATCTTTTAAAAGAACCGCCAATTTGGAATATAATCCACAATCTCTTTCCATGATGACCACTTGTTGATAAGATCATTGATTGGCAACAACTTGGTCAATGCAAATGAAAATACTGACATGTGCTATATTTTGTATGGCCTTTTTTTCTGGTCCTATATGCGCATACTGTTGTGGACTTTGTAACAGCAGGCTGACATTTTGATGGCGTAAACATACTTAGTCTTTAGGATAGTGTCTCAGGAGTAGGACTAGGGTTTAGTTAGCACCATTATTCCAAAGGGCAGTCTCATTAGTTATCATTTTAGTGCAATTTTAAAGCTATCAGATTGGTTGCCACTTTATTTTCATAAAAATTAATAATAATAAAGATTGGTTGCAACTTTATAGATATCGCTTTCTTTGGTTTCTCCTAAGGTGTAGGGTCACTCTGCAGCAACGAAGATTTGATTTCTTACAAGGGGAAACACGAATGAACTGTCCATCCACCTATTTCTTCACTGTGTCATTAAAAGTTTTCAATTGTCCAAATAGCTGGTTAATTAATTCAGTTACTGTATTGCTTTAAACAAACCGAACTGATACTTTAGGAATTCGGCCAAAAAAAGATACTCTAGAAATCATATTGACATTGTTATTCCTTGGTTTTGATCATCTTGAACTTGAACTCTCTTTGCCCCTAGTTTTCCTGATTAGTTACTTTCTCTGAATTGGATTTGAAAGAGCCAGTGGTTTTTCCCTTGGTGTTAAGAGAACATTTAGTGGCTATAAGTTGGATGGTGTCAGTTGATGTTGCTTTTCTGTTACTCTATTGTGCAACATGTTCTATACATCATCTTAGCTAATTATTGCTTTTGGCATGTCCATCCAATTAAACAGTATAGTTTAAATTGATTGGAGGGCCCCTTGTACTCCTTTATTAATAAATTTCTTTCACTGCCAATAAGAAAAAGGGTATAACTTAGATACATTTATAGAATTGCATTAGTGAAGTCATTCTATTTTGAAATTATTTCAAACATCCAAGAGGAAACATCAATAATTAAACTGTTAGCTTTTTTTTTTTTTTTTGGCTAATGATTAAACTGTTGTACACAGGGCACCAAAAAACCTGTATCGGAGGCTAGAAACTGTTTGTTGCACCAAACATTAATCTTGCAACGGTAGAAACTGCCTAAAATCCATGTCAGACGTGTAAGTTGCCACGTAAGACATCAAATACTCCTAAAATCTTTCTATTAAAGTAGTCCCTCATGAATATAAATAGACTCGTAGGTCTTCTTGACATTCAGCGTCTTTTGTTGAATCTGCTAACTTCTGGTCTGTTCTGATATGGACTTTTTGTTGAAAGTGGCAGTTTTCCTCACTTTGGCTTTTATTTCATGTATAATAGTGCATCCTGTTGCTGGAGTTAGAAATTCACAATTGCCAAGTAGGAAGAACTTGTTAGGCTCGTTGGAAAATGAGGATATTGTTACCAACTTGCCTAGCCAGCCAGACGTAGACTTCCGCCATTATGCTGGCTATGTCATCGTGAATGAAAAGAATGGAAGAGCACTTTTTTATTGGTTCTTTGAGGCTATGACTCTTCCTGATGAAAAACCATTGGTGCTGTGGCTTAATGGAGGTAAGCACAGAAAACATTGTTTGGTTGGCGGACATATTGCCCTTGTGGCTATTGCAGCTTACCTGCTCCGTTCATTGGTCATGTTTCCCTCCATGTAAACTGTATTGGAGTCTGCAGTCCAGAACAATCTAGATAATATATTTCTTATCAAACATGTTGCATGATTTTTTTATTATAAACTTCTTATAATGGAGTTTAAATTTTAATCACTTTGCAATGATCTTCAAGGCCTTTCTAAATGCCAAAACCAATCTTTTACCGAAAGATATTTAAAAGAGAGGGAGCTAGCAGAGATTCGTTTACTTTATTTCAATAGGCATGATTGTCGTATATCATTCAAACCATATAATTAATCTTTTGTTAGGGTTATTTCTTTTCTCATCTCATGGTCTAGTGGAGGTCCTAAATTGTTTTCCTCTCTATGTTGTTGTGTTGCAGGTCCTGGTTGCTCTTCTGTTGGATATGGGGCAACACAAGAGATTGGTCCTTTCCTAGTGGACACTGAGGGACATGGAATTAAATTTAATAACTTCTCTTGGAATAAAGGTACAAGGTTCATAACCTTTAGATTTCTCTTACTTGCATAAGTGCTTGTGCATGATGTACTCTTATTATATATTGATGCTAATTCTTTCTTGTGGTATCATCGTCATCATCATCATTGTCATTATTGTTGACACTACTACTGTCATATAAGTTATGCATCATAGAAATAAAAATATCATGCTTTCTCTCTTGTGGTTGCTCCTGTGAGCCTTTTACGGTATGGTTCCCCCTGATTGCCACAGCATATTAAGAATTCTTAATGTCTGCAATGGTGCAGAAGCAAACATGCTATTCCTTGAATCTCCCATTGGGGTTGGTTTTTCATACTCAAATACATCTACTGACTACAATAATCTGGGAGATGCCTTCACTGGTAAGTGGAACACAAACTTTGGACAAAATTTAAAAATCACCACCCTGTTTAATTGTTTTTAGGTTAAACTGTTCCCTTTAACGATTACATGCATAGATTTATACATAACATGAGAATTTCCAACCACCATCAGATAAGATAACGGCTTTGAAAGCTACTAATTTGCATTTGTTTCTGTTCTATGGACCACTTACACTAGCAAATGACGCTTATACTTTCCTACATAAGTGGTTCCTCAAGTTCCCCTCATATAGAACACGGCCCTTTTACATTGCAGGAGAGAGTTATGCAGGTTCTTTTCAACAATCCTTTTTGTGCATTATCTTATTAACTTATCCTCGTCTAACAACATTCTCATTGATGCATAATCACAGGAAAATATGTCCCACAGCTGGCCGAAATGATCATTGACAACAACAATGATCCCTCCCTTCATATTGATCTGAAGGGTATTCTGGTATTGTGTTTCGATTTGTTTGTTTAGCAATTTAATTTTGCCAGAATTTTGGTATGGTGTTTATTTGATGAAAAGAGGTTCTTTAAGGTAGCTTATAGCAGATGATTATCAGTTCTTTTTTGCGGTGGACTAGTCAATTGTTTTCTTTCTCTTGTTTACAAATAGTAGTGGTGCAATCTATGATTTAGTGATTTGGTAGAATATCCTTTTTTTCAACAGCTGGGTAATCCTGAAACATCTTTCGCTGAAGATTGGAGAGGTTTGGTGGATTATGCTTGGAGTCACGCTGTGATATCCGATGAAACTTATAGTATAATCATTGAAAACTGTGACTTTAACAGCAATGATACATGGAGCAATGAAAATTGTGATCAAGCTGTGGACGAAGTATTCAAACAGTACAACGAGATCGATATCTTCAGTTTATACACCTCAGTTTGCATTGGTGATACAGCAGGGTCAGATGATCATCAATCGATGCAAGCTGTGATAAAGCGAGCATCCAACATGGTGATTACTTATTCTCCTCTGCAATTTACATATCCCATATAACGATATTCCTAGGCCATAAGGCACTGAAGCCAGTCCATTTTTCATTCATTCTTTTGATTGCCATAAACTTCCACGACCGTTTTTATTCGAAGTCCGAGCGTTTCATAATTTTTGCTTACCAGGTGCCCAGGATCATGGGAGGTTACGATCCATGCATGGATTTGTATGCAGAAGCTTTCTACAATAGACTAGACGTCCAACAGGCCCTCCATGTTTGCAACGGTCACCAGCTCAGAAACTGGAGCATATGCAAGTAAGGAGTTAAACCTGGTCCTTCTTTAAATTTATTCAAACATTTTGCACTCTTATGATCCCAATTATACCTTTTCTTGTGCAGTTACACATTGTTCGATGGGTGGCCATGGTCAGATTCAAAGAAATCTGTTCTTCCGATTTACAAAAAGCTTATCACGGTAGGAATTAGAATATGGGTCTACAGGTACTTCCTGCTACCCACCATAAGTTTCTAGAGTATGGTTGATTATTTGGTTGATCTTATGGTATTTATTTCTGGTTGGATAGTGGGGACACAGATGGAAGAGTTCCTGTTTTGTCTACACGATACAGCTTAAAATCTTTGGGACTGCCCATTGTTAAGGCGTGGAGACCCTGGTACCATGAAAAACAGGTAGCAATGATGATTTACCAAAATTACAAATAAACAATCATCTGATTGAAGTAGTCTGATCTTGTTGACATAAACTCTTCATTTTTCCCTAATGGACCCATGTGTCCGTATGGACAAGATGCGACGACGTAAAGGCAAAATCATGACAAAAAAATGAAGATGGAATAATAACGTGTGTGCAAGAATGCATGTTGAAAAGAGAATAATAATACTTTTGTTCAATGCTCATTATAGACAGACCAAGCATGTATCTTTAGAATTCAGACGAAAAGAGAGAATATAATGCTTTTGTTCTATGTTCATTTTACACGTGCAGACGAAGCATGTAAGTTTTGCTAAGACAAGTGGTTTATTCTCTGGGGTGCAGGTTGGTGGTTGGTTTCAAGAATACAAAGGGCTTACTTTTGCAACGTTTAGAGGAGCTGGCCATGCAGTTCCCTGCTTCAAACCAAGCAGCTCACTTGCATTCTTCAAGTGTTATCTTCTTGGAGAATCCCCACCTTCGTCTCGAACATCTGTTTAGTTGATCCCTCAAAGATTCTGCTAATATAGGTAAAATAAGGTCTTTTGAGGGTGTTGTTCTTCCATCTTAAATGGTTCCTTCCTTCAACCTTACCATGTTTGCGTGCGGAAAGTTATGTTAAAGTGTGCAGACATGTAGTATCTGAAAATCATGAGTTTGTTGTACTAGAAAATAAGGAGAGCCCATAAGAAGAGGGTTGGGCTTTCTCTACTTTCTTTTGGTTTGGGCTTTCAGATCGTGTCGTAATTACACAAGGGTTTGCTAATGCTTCTGCAAATTAACCTAATTTCTATTTTAGCTTCAGTTCCAAAAAAAAAAAAAAAACAAACCCCTAACTTTTATATGAATTTAGGACCATAAGTTTTCTGTTTAGAAAACAAAAAATTAACCACTAAACAAAAGGAAAACTCCTAATGCTAAGAACTCAAATCCAATTATTTATGTTGTGTAATTCGATATTAAATTATATTTTTAAACAAACAAAATTGAACAAATGAAAGTATGATTTACAATGTTCCAAGTGATTTCCGCGTCATGATTCTCATCTCAAAATTGAAGTCTTCCTACTCAAAAGAAAATGACCCTTGTTTGTTTTCCTAGAAAAGGGAAGAAAATTAGTGGGGTTGATTAATTCCACAATCAAAGACATCATGATTCTACTTGATATCAAATATTACCCTCATATATAGTCAACACCAAAAGGCACAAACCCAATTCTAGGGTTGATTTTCACCTGTCCTGCTGCCATCACCTACATTAAACAAATTATGCTTTTTTAGGCCATTTGGGTCTTGTCCGAAAACGACAACCTCGTTTGATTTGTTTTCTGCCAATTAAACATTGACCATTAAGTTGGAGATAAAGCATAAATCAATGCTTAGAAGCAACAATAAGTCGACACGATTCCGCCAGTGTTTGAAACTAATTAATCAAAAGGTGGAGGAAAAAGTGGGTTTTGATGCTTTCTAATGAACCAATGCCATGGTGAAACATTAGTCATTAGGGCAGGAGACAACATTCGATGACAGCGAAATCTCTAGACATTTAATTATCTCGTAATTTAATTAACCAACATTAACATGATCGTGATGTTTGATTCTTCCCTTACCTTACGTTGCTAAATTAATATAGCAATATTTTAATTTGTCCTAAAAAAAAAAATTTTTTTTATGGCCCAAAATAAAAGAAGCTAAAATGATTTTATGACTTTTTCTTTTTAATTAAAGTAAATTAATCGGAGTCGATGATAATTAATTTTTTGAAATCATTTTTTATATAAAGTACATGCATGCAAGTACAATGTATATATTACAAGTTATAACATTTAAAACTTGTTTGATTTGATTAGACTAAATAATATCTCTTCTCGTTTCTTTATTTTTCTTAATTAAACAAATTCTTAAGAATATGAATAAATGATAGTTTTAAAGAAAATCTCATATGTGAGGGTTGAAGCTACAACCCCTAATTTATTAGGGCTAATATTGTGTTTTATCATTGCAAATTAGTAATTAACTATAGAGAGATGCATGAAAGCTAGCCCTTGGGGCTGAGATCAAATCCCCCGTCCCCCACCTTGTAATTGTTTAAAAAATATAATATATCTTTGAAAAATACATATATGATCAGACTTGATGGAGTAAACTATTAGAAGAATTAAAAAAAAATACATTTCTCATAATTTAGGGATAAAAAAGTATAAAAAATAATTTAAAGACTAAAAGTATTCAACATTAAAAGTTTAGCACTAAAAATGTAATTTAACCTTATTTTGAAAAAATACGTATATTTTTTTTATAAGAAGAATATTGAGTTAGTGAGTTAGTATTGTTCAGGATCAGAGTGAACCAAAGATCAAGTGAACTTCACCTACTACTCGTGAAGTAGCGTGACCTATCCACTAGATTACATAGGGAGTTCAAAAAAATACGTATCTTTGGGAAAAGTTTTGTTTATTAAGATAAAAGAAAGATGAAAACAGTATGTTATTAGGCTTTTTGGTACTAGATTAAATGTGTGATCTAATAAAAAAACCAAAAAAACAAAAAAGAGCAAAACAAGATACTAAAATATTTTTCTTTTGTGTAGATAAGATAAGGTTTCTTATCATGTATTACACCTGTTTTTTTAATTACTATTAACTTTTTAAGAGTCATTTATCTTTTACTATTTAAATTGCATCCATTATAAAAAAAAAAATTATTAGATTAGAAAAAACCTCAACATTTAAAGTAGTATCTCCTTAAATTAAGGTTAATTTTGTTTAGTATTAAGTGACCTTCTAAATGTATTATTAAGTGAACGAGGCATTAATTAATTTAATGGTTTAAGGATGATCTCGATGGTAATTACAACATTTTATGAATTCAAAGCAACTTTGTGTATATTATGCCAAAAAAAAGTACTAATTAATGTTCATGACTTTGGTGATCGATCTCTCCTTCAACATATTACTTCTAATACTATATTAAGATGTTTCTAACTTTATCTAGTAACACAATCTGTAAGCTCAAAAACAAGACTACGAATTCCAATTCATGGTAGGGAGCTGAAACTGTTGCCGTAAAACGCCGCCGCAGTCGCCAAGAGATCCCAGCAGGGTGTTGGAGTGAAACGGCCCTGTTTGGGGAATCTGATTGAGCAAAGTAATTAACGAGTTGCTATCATCAGTACTGCCGCTACGGCCACTGTTGAGATCGCCGTGGAAACGCTTGCCTGGCAGTGGTGACCCTATTGACCCCGGTCCGTTCCAGCACTGTGGCGGCGGTGGCAGCGGGCGTTTGACAGAGAGGGTGGCGGCAGTGGAGACGGCGGAGATATTGGGTTTTTGGGAAATGGAACTGTCTGTTAGTATCCCTTCGAAGAAATTCTCACCGCCGTTTTCCAGTAATGAAGTTCCATAAGGTCCGGATTTCGGTGCCGGAGGTTTCAGATTCTGATTGTTAAAAGTAGCCGGAAGAAACCCGGTTGCGATCATCCCCTCCATCTCACTCTCCATTGATCTCTGAGGATTGCTTTTCTTGTAAATCCGGCATAAAACCCAATCATCAAGCTACACAAAACCCATCAAAATTAAAGTTTTTTAAACTGAAAATTTCAGATGAATTACGTAAATATCAACATTAATTTACTTACCCTTAAAGATCCTTTCTTGTTTTCAATAGAAACCGGAGGCGGTTTCGCTGAAGAACCGTCAGCAAGGCGATATTCATGCATAATCCAGTTCGTTTTGATCCCTTTAGGAGGCTTTCCGCCGTAGAAAACAAGCGCCTTTTTAACGCCCACCTTTTGATTTCCATTCGACGTTAAAATTGGCTTATCTGTTCCCGTGGCTTTCCAATACCCTGAAGTGGCGGCTCTGTTCGGCCTCGCTCCGTTCGGATACTTCCTGTCCCTTGGACTGAAGAAATACCATTCTTGCTCCCCAAACGCCGCCTTACCTTCAAAAACAAGAAATCAATTTAACGAAAAATGAAAAAAGAAGGAATGTATGGGAGGAAAATGGAGAATTGGATTAGATGTATATACTGGGGAGTTCCCATGGATCGAATTTGTAAAGGTCGACTTCGGCGATGATGGTAACAGGGAGGGGAGCGGAGGCCGCCTTTCGCTTGAGGTAGTGAACGACCAACTCTTCGTCTGTGGGGTGGAACCGGAACCCAGGTGGAAGTTGCGGGTGGTGCTGCGGCGCCGTTGCTGCCGCCGCCACCGCCGCGGCGGCCGAAGAGGAATCGGTGCTCTCCATTTTCAGAGTGAAATTATTCTGAGAATTTTGGACAGGGGAAAGTGTTATAAACAGGGGAGAGTGAGGAGAGAGAGGAGGGAAGTGCCAAAGGGACAGGGAAGTTTATGGGGTGACACGTGGCGGGAATGGAGTGAGGGAAGCGGTGACACGTGGGAGATTTGGGATCGTGGGGACCACGTGGGAACAAAAAGCAAGAAAACGAGGAGGGGGCATGTTTTCAGGGGCTGAAGGTTTGGAATTGCCTGAACGTTTTTGATGTCATGCTTTTCCTATGCTACAGCACACGCTCTCCCCCCCCCCCCCCCACTTCATAAAACTAATCTTCATCCAATCCAATGGAGAAAACAAGTTCTTTTCTCCTTTATTTTTCAAAGTTAATAATCAATTGTGAATCTTTATCCTAACAATTATGTTAATAAAGTTTTGATATAGTAATAAAGTAGAGATATCGATATTTAAGTGTTTAAAGTTCGTGTTACTGTGTAGAAGTTAATCTAGTTCAAACAGAATAGATTTTGCAGTATTCTTTTCAACTTTTTTAATCTAACTGGAAAAGGAGCTTTTGGAACAAATCAAAGGGGATTCACCTTAACATGAATGGGGGGGAATGAGGCCGCGGTGATGTGTAGTCAATAAGTTGGATGCTATTTTTCACATATGCTAATGTAATCACAGATTTCACATATATTTCTAAAGGGATAATTTAATGGTTAAAAATTTAATATTTTAAATTAAAAATGTTAAGTTTAAATCTTGAGTTAAGTTGAAAGAGATTTAGAAAAAAAAGAAAAGTATCATTTTTTAGATAACCTATTCAAATGTACTAAAAAAAATAAATTTGGCATATTGCACCAAAAATATGTCTTAAAGGGGCACGTGGGTCATGTAATTCTATGCCTAAATGTCTAACCAAGAAATGGACTTAAAACCCTCAACACATGTTCGTGTTGTGTTGATGATGTGTATAGATCGAACAATCAAAATCACCAATACGAGCACATGAATAATACCGAAAGGAGCCCACTTCACTATTATCAATATACAAATCAAATCAACACCGCTGCATCATCAAGCATAATCCAACAAATCCAACATATTCGAATCTTGAAATTAATTATGAACTAGGAAAAAGAACGGAGTTGTCATATATGAGCATACTAATATATCTTTGACCTTCGACTAGTGACAAGAAATAGCCGTGTTGATAAAAGATGGGTATTTTGATATTATTGAAATAATCTTTTTTTTATTAATCATTATAAAATGTGTTATCGTTATAAAATGAATTGTGAGATAATAACCTCTATTAATAATACAACCTAAAGCTATCTTAGTAGGGTTTTTATTTTTTTACTTTTAAAATCTTGTTGCTAAAAGTTGCAAATGCCATAATGTCAATGTGAATTCAAAGAAGATGTGCAAGACTTTTGAAAGCACGCATAGCCTAATACTAAGAATATCAATACCTAGCTAATATATCTTGATAGCATATGCTTTTGGAGGCCTTGTCGATTTGGAATGATAAGATTGACAACAAAACTTTCTTTACATCCAAATATTCTTGTCTGTGCAAAACATAGTAATAGCAGATTTTGAAATCAATTTGGCTTAATATATATGAATATACGCAAACAGTACTTTTACAAAAGAAAATTCATAGTCGCAAGTCGCAACAACCGGACTCTAAATAGAACAGGACATAATAATAATTGAAAATCTTTGACTACAAAGATTTGTTGTGGCTGAGCCATGCATTCGGGTTGAGCTGCTTGGATAAAGAAGGTTAGGTTCTGTGCTATCAATTCTATCCAGATTTAAGGGCTGCACAGTCATAAAACAACGATAAAAAGGCTTCCAACATCTACATAATGGCACCCAACACACTTGTTTTAAG